AGGAAACAATAAGGAGAATTCAGACCCTGTCTCTTATACACATCTAGATGTGTATAAGAGACAGGTATATATCTATGTATATATGTATGTGTATATATATATATATATATATATAAGAAAATATTAGGTTAGTGATTTATACAATGTTCATTCTAAATGTGGTTCTTGAAAATATTTTAATTGGTAGAAGACTGTACATTAGGGCTTACCCTATTCCATTCGATAGCGCCACGATATGAAGTCCTTCTTTTATTTTGTCATTAGTCTTTCACGTTTAGTTTGCTTTGATTAGGCACTTTACTCAAGAGGACGTGGAGGGAGTCGTCAACAACGGCAGTTCGGGTTAAGCGCCCAAATGTTTATGTGGTCTTCACGCTCTAATGAGTACAGAACCACTGTCCACCCGTCTTCCCGTCCTATTGTGTAAAGTGTCTATTACCGTCCGAAGGACGGGCACGCAGCTAGTAATAATAATAAATAATAATAAATGATAAATAATAAAGAATGAATAAATAATAACTAGCACTAACAATAACAATAATAATAATAATCATAATAATAATAATGTAGGTTTTTAATAGTTTTAGAACACTTTTCAACATTATCACCCAAGTCATTGAAACGATGCCTATGGGGGAAATTCCATAGTTTGCTGCATGAAATATCTCTAATTTATTGATTTTTCGTAGTATTAGCACATTTCGGAAAGGGTCGATTTATTCTTAAGCATTTTCACTGATTAAGACAAAGTGTAGGGACTGGAACCCAGTCTACATGAAATAATATATCAGCACATTTACAAAAATTAAAAAATAATAATGGAAAATTGATGAGATATATTTTTAATAAGCTTATGATACGGTTCTATATTAATTGGCAAGTAATGCAAAGTTTTCAAGGCCTCTCCGTATATCCAGTGGGTGGGTTGGTGCAATGGTTGCGTCGTACGCACTCCTACTTTAAAAAGGTCCACTTAATGACAGTCGAGAATGTAATGGATATAAAATTTGTGATTTTCTGATCGTAGGCCCTAATCGTAAGTATTTACATTTTAAACAGTAATCTATTGTTAGGCCAGTTATCATATATTATATCATGTATTTCACTAGTAAAGCAACAAAAAAAATATATGGCTGACTGGCCGGATTACCCAAAAGTAGCGCAACGTTACTGTCACGGGGTGATCCCGACAGCACATGCAGTCAAATATACATAATACATTCGACTATAATAAAAATAAACATCTCTTTTAACAACTTCATTAAACGAATTAAAAACTACTAAAGTTACTTACTTATTTACAGCGCATAAAATACATAAAACATACATTTTAAAATTAAATAATAATAATATTTAAGTTATATTGTAGGCTTACAGGTATTGGTCGTTTGGTTATACTGTAAACCATCAGAACCCCGCATTTCTCGAACTGTTATTCAACAGGCACTAAATACGAACTGTTCTTTTTGCTTTCTGGGGGGGAGTATTCGTTGTCATGCATGTACAGCACTTCCAAGTTCATTCAACTCCCACCAGATATGCCCAGGAAGGAATACAGCAAATAAAATTAATATAGTACTAAAAATTTGGTATTTCTGTTAGTACGGTATTGTTTTTTGATATGATATTATTTATAAAAATAATGTAAATAAATATGTATAAATTATTGCTGCGAAGCAGCCAATTCATATTCTTGACAGCAATTTGACCTCTGAAAGGTCATTGTTTGTCAAAACACAAGGGCCTAAGACGACTGAAAAGCGGAGTTTCCTTCTTTCGTTCTGCCGGGCAAAATCAATTACTTTAGGCGACGTTTGTAGACTAACCTA